CACTGTTATGCTTTATTACCTGCATTGACGCATTAAAACATATCACTCATGGGCTAAACCATATATTGAAAGTTATCTATCAGCGAACGACACCCCATGCAGGTCATTGGATGCTTGTTATAACATACAGTTGATGTTGGTGTTCTTTTTAAGCATTGCTACCCGACAACACTTCTGCATAGTCTTAAACCGCTGATTTGACATCTTTTTATTTAAGCCCAGACCAGTTATTGATACGCTCACACTACATGCCCTAAACACATTATGCTCACTAGGTTTGCTTATTTAAATGATCTCAGCATGGGAAACAGGAATATATATATATACTTGTCCAGACATACTGAACCATGCTCTACCCCGGCAATATGTCTTTAAGTCCGCAAAGTGCACGCATGCTTGATTAATATATTTGTTCCTGTTATATTCATATGTTTAGGCGTATATGCCTCTGCGTAGGCGACCATATGTTTCTTACAGTAACTTGTTTGATGTCTGCATTCACACTGAGATGAAAACAAAAAAAACATTTAAAACAAAATACCAAACCCAGAGACAAATAGTGTCAATGTATACAGCGTATTACACTTCAATGACAGATAGTCACCAAAAATAGTTACAAAAATTATCCAGATAATGACTTTTCAGAACTTATAAAGACAGAAAAAGAACAAGATGGGAGTGTGGATATATGGATATATGCAAATATTCCAACTTTTAAGAATGAAAATTTGGATTTCTTAAACTGTGTACTTTGTCGTTAAGAGATTTTGACAAGTTGCTAAAAATGGAGCATATTGGTTCTCATACAATCTTCTTCTTTCTTCTTTCTTCTTCTTCCCCTACTCAGACGATCTTACAGTCTAGAAGAGTGGGGTATAAGGATACAATAGGAAGGGCATTAAGGGGGGCAATAAACAAACTAGATGAGAAAGTAACAGAACTGGAGGTGAGATTTAGAGACAGATTTGTGACAAAGAAGTTACTCTCTGAGGCAATAAGCATTTCTAAACAGATGGGTTTTGAGGCATTCTTAAACAATTGGAGACTAGGGGAGAGTCTGATGGGGTTACAAATGCTGTTCCAAAGGAAAGGAGCTTCCCGTGAAAAGTCCTGCAAGTTAGCAATGAGGGTGCGAGGGGCGGACAGGAGGTGGTTACCAGCAGGGCCGCCATCAGGGGGTTGCAACCATGATGGTTGTCACAGGCCCTGCAAGGAAAAGGTAAGTAACAGGAGGGTGGCTGGAAAATGAGATGTATGTATGTCTGTCATGTATGTCTGTATGTATGTCTGTCTGTCTATGTATGTCTCTGGATGTATGTATGTCTGTATGTCTGTATGTCATGTATGTCTGTCTGTCATGTCTGTCTGTCTCTGTATGTATGTCTCTCTTTCTGTCTACATGTCCGTCTGTCATTGTGTATGTATGTCAGTATGTATGCATGCTAGTATCTATGTATGTGTATGCATGTCATTATGAATGTGTGTATGTATGTATGGATGTCAGTGTCTGTATGCATGTCTGTCTGTCTGGATGAATGTATGTCTGTATGTCATTATGAATGTATGTCTGTGTATGTATGTGTGTATAGATGTCAGTGTCTGTATGCCAGTATGAATGTATGTATGTCTGTCTGTATGCCATTATGAATGTATGTCTGTGTGTATGTCTGTATGTCCTTATGCATGTGTGTCTGTATGCATGTTAGTATGTGTCTGTCTGTCACCATGTATGCCTGCGTGTCTGTATATGTGTATGTCTCAGTATGTGTGTGTCAGTGTGTATGTCTGTTTCAGTATGTGTGTCTATTAGTATGTATCAGTGTGTGTGTGTGTGTGTGTATCTGTGTCCTTTTGTATCAGTGAATGTGTTTGTATCTGTGTGTGTATTCCTGTGGGTGGGATTTGGTGGCGGTCCCTGTGGGCGGGCTTGGAGGCGGTCCCACAGGGGCCCAGGCCCTGAGCTCAGTTAGGGGTCCCA